GAGCGCTCGGCGGCCATTTTGTCTTCCCTGCGCCATTTCAGACTGGGCAGCTCTGTTCACTTGAAGGAATTTCAGAGGCTGCTGGGGCTCATGGCGTCTGCTGCAGCGGTATGTCACCTGGGCTTACTACACATGCGTCCCCTGCAATTATGGTTGAAATCTCGAGTCCCTTGGACGGCGTGGACTTTCGGCCGTTTGCGCATCGCGGTCTCCCGCAGCTGCATCGAAACTCTGCGGCCGTGGCACAACCCAGATCTTCAGCCGGGGGGTTCCCCTGGGCTTGGTGACGTCACGCGTTGTGGTCACGACGGACGCATCGACTCGCGGCTGGGGAGCAGTGTGCGAGGGCATGCCAGCTTCGGGGCTGTGGTCAGACGGAGAAATATCTCAGTGATGTCTCGTTCCCGCTCTCAGGGAACCGAGGTTACGATAGTAACCGGAGCGTTTTCACGATACCCACGATAAACAAAATGATCAGCACGGTTTATTTTATAATGATAAACCGGGAACGACTTTCCAGCTCTTTATAGGAACAAGTGGTCATTGCAGCTATGGGAATTGCTGTGAAGAAAGGCCAAATTTAGAGCTTTAACACCTCCATTGGTGTCCATGTAATCTGGGCATTAATGCCAAATACTTGTTTTCACTATTCACGCAAATTAAGAGGTTTACGCTTACCTCAGCTTCCTGCTTTGCGTTTTTCCTTGTCAAAGTAGGGTTGTTAAGTCTATGCCAGTCGTAAACCACTTTATTAACTAGTTTAACTCTTTTGAACTAAGCCTTCATTCAATTAGTTTGGAGTATATGGTGATTTGTTATCTGATCAGTGAGAAAACAGCATGTCGTTGGACCAGTGTGGGGCTATGTATAGCATATTTGACCTACCATCGAAAGCAATGAATAATATAGAAAATAATGTTCTTCTCGATCTGAAACGCTATTCAGAGACCACTATTCAGAGGTCTACACTCTTAAAAATAAAGGTGCTTCACGATGCCATAGAAGAACCTTTTTGTCTAAATGGTTCCATAAAGAACCTTTAACATCTGAAGAACCTTTCTGTTTCACAAAAGGTTCTTTGTGGCGAAAGAAGGTTCTTCAGATTATAAAAAGGTAAGAAAGAGATGGTTCTTTAAAGAACCTTTGATTGAACCTTTGCTCATACTTGGTCATACAACCCCCCCCCCCCCCCCCTTTTTATTTATTTATTTAAATTTTTTTTATACAGAGGCATACATACTCCAATATGTACACAAATGTATGTATTGTTACTCTCCATGCCTTCAGATTTATTATTGGTATCATATACAGGTCAATGGGTCCGTGTAAGGTAATAAGTTATAATATAAATGGCCTTCATAGCCCTATCAAAAGAAAAACAATTCTCAATCAGCTGAGACAACTCCAATGTCAGATAGCATTTCTTCAGAAAACACATTTATCAGATAGAGAACACGAAAAATTGACAAAGTCCTGGGCGGATAAGGCTTTTTATTCATCTCACAAATCAGGAAAAAGGAGAGTCTGTATTTTAGTTCATAGAGGTTTGAACTTCACATCTACTACAGTTCATAAAGACACTGAAGGTAGATTTATTCTAGTAAATGGTATAATTAATGGTTTTTGGAGTTCTCATTCATGAATGTCTATGCCCCTAACGAAGATGATCCAGATTTTATAAATAAAATATTTAGGGTTATCTTGCAACATAGTAAAGGAATGCTCTTGCTGGGCAGAGATTTTAATTGTGTCATGTCACAATATATGGATAGACAACCATCTCCAAAGTCCCCTCTTCCTAAAATGAGTAAAATATTAGTTGGACAACTTAAAGAAACCGGGCTAGTGGATATATGGAGACAAAAGTTTCCCAATATGAAAGATTTTACTTTTTTCTCTACTAGGCATTCATCATATTCACGAATTGATTATTTATTTACGTCATTATCAGAACTACATAGAGTAACAGATATTACAATTTTGCCAATAACATTATCAGACCATGCTCCATTGTTGATGTCATGGGATTTAGGATTTAGACCAATATCCAGGCAATGGAGACTTAACATATCTTTACTCAATGATAATGAATTTATAACATTTATAAAAAATGAATTACAATTCTACTTAGATACTAACACCACTCCAGATATATCACCACTAATATTGTGGGACTGTGCTAAAGCTTATTTACGAGGATGCATAATTATTTACGAGGACGCATAATTGCTTTTGGCAGTGCGAATAAAAGGGAAAGAGAACATAAGCAGCAACAATTAGAAAATACTATTAGGAAATTGGAACAACAACATAAATGGACTCCAACCCCTGTGTTACTAACAGAATTGACTGTAGCACGTAGAGAATTAAATGCATTACTTTCCAATGTAATGGAAGGCAGGCTAAGATTTGTCAAACAAAAATACTATGAATATGGTAACAGAGCTAGCAGACTGTTGGCTCTCCGCCTAAAGAAACAACAATCCACAAACATAGTATCAAAGCTAAAATCTAAGAATTCATCT